CTCTCAACACATTAATGGTCCCGGTGGAACTCCATGGCGGGAAAGGCAAATATCAGATGCAAGTTAAAGCCGAACAGTGTTACAAAAGAAGGACCACGGTGATACGCTACGCCCAATCACGGGCGAACAGGCATGGCCATAAGTGGAAGCAACAAAAGCAAAGCAGACATGAAGCAGAGCACATCAAAGGACAAGCACAAGAGCACTACGCCCATATGTAGCAAAGCCATTAGTAACCAGACCACACCTGTTGGAAAGGCTCCGACACACATCAAACTTTCACCGCATGTCAACTGTTAGCGGCCAGTGAACCGGCCAATGCAAAGTTCGGTTCATGGATCCATCCCTAGTGCTACTACTACTGTACATTTGACCAAACAGATCGGCGGGATCGAGGATCGGCGGGGGTATAACTATGCAGAGCACATGCTCATTTTGTTTGTTGATGTGACATTACGAGTCATGGAAACATACAAGCTGCCCCGCGAAAAAGAAAGGAAATATACAAGTTAGGTGTTGATTTCACAAGTATTTATAGCGTATATTTTTCATAAAATGACTTCAAGTATTTATAGCCACCCCGCAAAAAAGGTATTTATAGGCAATAAGAGCATCTACAGCCGGGCGTCTAAAACTCTCCCCAAACGCCCGGGCAGGTCGCCTGGTCACTGATCGATCATGATTTTTCGACCCAAATGAACGCCTCAAACGGGCCTCAAACACCCGGGCTGACCGGCACCCCTCATATCCAACCCAAATATGGAGCAGATATGCGGGCGCCCGGACACGTCCACCACGTCTGACTGACGAATGGGTCCTAGCCGGAAACACCCTAAAACCCGGCAATCCAAAGCTCGTCTCCTTAGTTGGACCGGTAGCGCCTCGTGGTGCAACTCCAGCGGCCGCGTAGTGCCTAGCCCAGCTATTTAAGTCGACCGACGGTATCAAAACCCTACCATCCATCCATATTTTCCTCCTTCTGTACACCACCGCCTCTTTCCACCCCATCCGTCCGCCTAGTAGCCATGCCCCCATGCCGCCAGGTGAGGAGCGAGCCATTTCTGACGCCGGAGCGTCGGCTCGAACTCCTTGGGCATATCCGGACGCGAAGCCCGGATCGTTGCGGGGCTGTCTCCGGATGCAGTGGATCCGGAGGAGGAGTTTTGGAGGTGGAGGAGGAGGAGGAGGTGGAGGAGGAGGGGAAGGATGATGATGTGGGAGACGCTGGCGACACGGATCTGCAGGCGGAGCAGCAGGCCATCCTCGATTCCCTCCGGCCGGAGTCGGCAGCGGAGGCCAGACGCCGTCACCGGCAAGAGATGGAGGCGGAGATGCCCGCCTACATGGATGAGGTCGAGCAGGAGGAGGATGAGCTGGAGCCCTCCTACCCGCCCGTCCAGTCGGCGCCCGGCACCGTCGTCTCCAATGACGAAGAGTAGCTAGTGTAGTACATAGGATTGTTTTGCATGCTTTGTATGGATTTAGGGGAGAAAATATGAGAGAGGCAGATGCAAAGTGACTAATTTAAGGCGTGACCGGTCACTATCCACGGACGCGCCCGATCGTGTCCTCGGGGGTTTAAAGGGCCGGATTTGCAAAGTCCAGTTGTAGGTGCTCTAAGAGCATCTACAGACGGACATAGCAAATATGAACCCCTAAATGCCCATGGACGCGCCCGGTCAGTGACCGGGCGTGTCCGTTTTGAGCCCCTATTTGCCACACTTCTTATTTTTCTTCTCATATGTCCAGCCACTTGCACATGATTGTTGGAGATAAGAAAGAGAAATAAAAGAATGAATAAAGAAAGAGAAAAGGTGGTCCGGGGTGGAGCCGCGTCCTACGTGGCGGAATGCCCGGGCGCGTCCGCGAGCCCTCATATCCTCCCCATATTTGAGATGGATACGAGGGTTCACGGACAGCCCGGGCGTATAGGGATGATACAAGGGGTCCGGTTCGGTCATGTTTTTCCTTCTCTCTCCTGTCCGGTCACTAATCGGGCGCGTCCACGGGTGTATGAGAGATGGTTTGAGGCACCCGGCTGTAGATGCTCTAAGGCCAACTCCAGCGCATGACCCCAAGCGGACTTCTGTTTTGCCCGGATTATGTCCGTTTGGATAGGGCAATGGGGCCGTGTCCGGGCCTGTCCTGGGATGCGGCGGCTGTGCGCCCAACATGCGGTCGCATCCTGTCCGTCATGGCCAAAAATGCCCATATATTCATATTTCAATGTTCAAAAGTAGTTTGCACGTCCAAATATTAATTGTCTGAAAATAAAAATAGTTTTACAACCCAATCAAAATTGTCTCTCATAAAATAGTTTTACAACCAAATCGAAATTGTCTTGAATGAACATAAGAACCAATACATCTATTGGTTGCCAATGTGAGTCTACACGTACTCAATCAAATCATTTTGAAAATCCAAATGAGTGTGTCAATCACGCAGTTCACGATGAAATTGGGCAAGCTGTTCAAACATGGCCGGTTCTTGGTGCAGGGGCTCCACATTTTCACCTTGAAAATCAAATCCTTGGTCGAAGATGCTGTTATCATGCTCATCCTTGACGATCATGTTGTGCATGATCACACAAGCAATCATGCATCACCTCCCAAAGCTTCCCCCTCATCCCATGTCAGTACAGGGTTTCGAATGACCCCCCATCGGGATTGAAGCACACCAAAAGCACGTTCCACATCCTTTTTAGCACTCTCTTGCATTTGGGAAAATCTCTTTCTCTTCTCACCTTGGGGGTTCGAGATTGTCTTCACAAAAGTTGACCACTCAAGATATATACCATCAGCTAGGTAGTATCCCTTGTTGCACTGGTGGTCGTTGATCTCAAAGTTGACAGGTGGGGAGTGGCCTTCTGCAAGCCTTGCGAAGACTGTAGAACGCGGCAGCATGTTGATATCATTGTGAGAACCTACCATGTCGAAGAAAGAATGACATATCCAAAGATCCTGCGAAGCCACCGCTTTTAATATGACAGTGCATGCTTTAACATGCCCCTTGTACTGGTCCTGCCAAGCAAATGGACATTTCTTTCACTCCCAATGCATACAATCTATGCTGCCAAGCATGCCTGGAAAACCTCTAGTTGCGTTGGTTGCCAACAACCTTTCTGTATCAGCGGCATTTGGCTGCCTCAAGTACTCAGGGCCAAACACTGCCACTACGGCCTTGCAGAAGTTGTATAGTGAAAGCAGACATGTGGACTCACTCATACACACATACTCATCCACCAGATCGCCTGGAATTCCATATGCAAGTATGCGGATGGTCGCGGTGCATTTCTGGTAAGAGGAGAATCCAAGCTTGCCAAGGGCATCCGTCTTGCACTCGAAGTATGGGTCATGAGCAACCACTCTCTCTCGGATACGATTGAACAGATGCCTTGTCATACGAAAATCACGACGGAATTTATCCGGCTTGAAGAGCGGGGTGTTGGCAAAGTAATCGGCATAGAGCAGGGCATGGCCTCTCTCTTTGTTGCGGTCCAGGTTGGGAGCATGGCCAGGGACTGACCCCCTATACCGAGGAAGCTGCCGTTCAATGTCGTCGTGAACGACCAGTGCAGCCACCACAAGATCTTCGTCATCCAAGGACGAATTGTCCGATGAATAAATGAAGTGGTGGAAGAAAAATTCATCTCCACTGTCCATACCTTTGTGGGCAAAGTGTCAAACATCTTGCGGTCGTGGTGGCAAAGAGGTCGCGATGATCACCTCGATGCAGCAGGGGTGGTTGGCGGCTGGCTACTGGCCGCTCTAGAGCATTGGGCAGAAGCTGCCATGGTCCATATCTGTCGCCAACAGTCGTATCCCGTCGGGCACCGGCTACGACGGCGACGACCAAATCTCCTCCAAGCAACGGCCAAAACTCCTACGAATGCGCGGGTGTGGTGGCGGCCATGTCGGGACATGGTTTGGTATGGACGGCCGGGGAGGGGGGTGAGCAGTGAGGAGGCGGCCGGAGAATAGTGGCGGCGCCGGTGGCGGGTTGGGGTGGGGGAGAGCGGGTGGAGGCGTTGGAGGTGAATGGACTGCTAGTGTCCCCGACAGGTGGGCCACGGAGAGGACAAGGGCGTGCGTCCAGCCCGTTCGCGCGATGTCCGTTTCACTCCAAACTCGGCGCAAGTTTAGGCCGGGAATGAGTCGAAAACGGACGAAATTCGAACATTTCTCCGTTTGTGGCCGCGTGTTGGGCCGCGCTATTCGTCCGTTCTATCCCAAACGGACGCATCCAGACAAGATGAGGTCGCGCGCTGGAGTTGGCCTAACATATTGCGGTTTGTAATCACTTCTTAGAAAGAACAATAGTGCCATCATAAACACTCTCAAGGCTCAAGACATTATGGTCCCGGTGGAACTCCATGGCGGGAAGGCAAATGCTATCAGATGCAAGTTAAAGCCTTAAAGCCGAACAGTGTTACTATGAAAAAAGGACCACGGTGATACGCTACGCCCAATCACGGACGAACAGGCTTGGCCATAAGTGGAAGCAACAAAAGCAAAGCAGACATGAAGCAGAGCACAGCAAAGGACAAGCACAAGAGCAGAGCACTACTACCATATATAGAAAAGCCATTAGTAACCAGACCACACCTGTTGGAAAGGCTCCGACACACATCAAACTTTCACCGCACGTCAACTGTTAGCGGCCAGTGAGCCGGCCAATGCAAGCTCGGTTCATGGATCCACCCCTAGTGCTACCACTACTGTACATTTGACCACACAGATCGGCGGGATCGAGGTTCGCCCCAGCGCCGCGCCCAGCGGCACCGGCCACCGCGGCATCGGCATGCAGCATGGCAGGACGCCCACGCCCCCGGTCCAAGCTTAGGTACGTAGCTTTACATCCGGCCAGGTCACCCATGGGCCACGGCGTACGGAGGCCGGCATGGCCGGAGCAATCAGCAGCTCCCGTCGTGTACGTGCGTCGACACGTACGAAAGCTCCCAAGGAAGTATGTCGCGGCGATGTATGCCGTACGTTGGCCGGCTAGGACCGGTGGCGGTCGGCGTGTGGCGTGGCGACAGGTGGCGCCTCGAAGGGGGCCAGCCGGTTGTCGCCGAGGCGAGAGCGGTAGGCCGCCTTCTTGTACTCTCCCCATGTGAAGTCCCTGTAGAGGGGCAAGCTCTGCGTCCCCGCCAGCAGCTGCGGCAGCGGTGCAATCCTCTGCGCCAGCGGTGGCCCGCCGAAGTAGATCATCGACACGCGCGACTTGAGCCCGTTGCCGGCCACCACCCGGTGCCGCACGCTCCTCAGCCTCCCGTTCGTCAGAACCTGCACCGACCCCGACCGATTGGTTAATCATTGTTCCTGTCGCCGCCGTACGCCGGTCGTCGTCGGTCCGTCCGTCCACCGGTGCATGGGATGGGCCTGAGGGAAGGAATGTGTGTACCTGGAGGGAGTCGCCGACGTTGACGAAGAAGGCGTCGCGGTTGGGCGGGACGGACACCCAGCGCCCGTCGTGGAGGGCGACCTGGAGCCCGGGCGTGCCGTTGGAGTGCAGGATGGACACCAGCTGCGGGTCCGTGTGCTCGCCGAACCCGGTCACGCTGCAGTTGGGCGGGAGCCCCTGCAGCAGCGGGCACGGCGGGTAGTGATTCACCCGGAACACCTGGTCGCTCGCCGCGTCGCCCGTCACCATGTCCGCCAGCGCGCCCCGCGGCGACACGCCCAGCCCCTCCGCCACCATCTCCAGCACCGTCCTCGCCAGCCCGCGCATGGCGCCCACGTAGTCGTTGATCGCGTCCCTCAGCGCCGACGTCGGCGCCGGGGAGGCCTTGGAGAGCGCGTCGCGCTCGATGGCGAGGAGGAGGTACTCGACCCACCCCATGTCGCCATTGCGCCCGATGCGCTTGCTCCCGTACCCGAACGGGTCGGCGGGGCCCGACGCGTCCTTGTCCGCCTGCGACGACGCGAAGAACCGGACGGCCTCCGCCTCCAGCCGGTCCACCATGCCCGCCGGCACGCCGTGGTTCACGACGCTGAAGAACCCGTAGCGCTCACACGCGCGCACCACGTCCGCCGCGGCGCCGGGGCCGGACAGGTCCACGGCCGGGACGCCCGAGAAGCTCTCCCACGCCTCCGGCGTCCTCAGCAGCGCGATCTGCTCCAGCGCCGCCGGCTTCGCGAGGACCACCATTGCCAAGAAACAGAGCAGAGCTGGGCCAAGCAAATAAGCAGGGCAAGCGATCGATCCCCGAACCAGGCAGGGCCGACAAGCTACTACTATCGCAACAGTGGCGCACTGGTGATGAGAACTCGAGCTGTGGTGGCGCACGAGTGGGAGATGGGGAGTGAGGAGGGCGTTCATGGCGCGCGCGTATATATAGTGGTGGCGGGGGGGAGGAGGTCGCCGATGGCAGTGGCGGTTGCCAGTGGGCGCGCGGGGGGCCGAAGAGGCGGCGACGTACGTACGCGGCGGGAATGCGGGTAGAGAAACGAATGGGAGGGAATGGACAACGTTGGTAGGAGCTGTTCACCCCGTGTCGTGTGGGTGCACGCATCGGTCGACTGACCTGTCTCGACTGCCTTTTCCGTATTGAGTGAGCCCGGAGTTGCCGCGAACTGAATCCCCGGCGTGGCGATTAGCCGGGAGGGGCGACGTGTGCCGATGCCATCCGCCGGTGCGCTGGGGTCCGGGAATGAGGAGGGTGATGGGTGCTGTGGCCGATGCTACGCTGCTCAATCATGCATGGACCGACGGGCGGTGTTCCTGTGCGCACCTGTGTCTTTCTTTTCCAACTCGTGCTCCTATACGAAGCCTGTTGCCAAGGGCTTCCTATCTTCTTCTCCTTTCTATTCCTATTCCCGGTTAGGGGCATCTCCAACCCATATTCTCAAACTGCCCGCATACATCTAAATCATGCAGTCCGGACATGTTGTGTCATCGGGTTTGTATCAGCC